GGTAAGAGGTGTTTGGTTGGGTGACACAAGCTGTGGAGCTTTATGGGTTTTGGACGTTAGGCTGATTGGTTCGGTAAGAGCGGGTGGGTTGGACTTGTGAGTTTGGGTAATGAGTAGGCTGAAAATTTGGGTTGTGTTTGAGCTGGCTAACCCCTAATGAGGTGGAAGTTGGGCTACGGTTGAAATTTGAATATGGACCCCGTTAACATAAGCTCCACTGGGTTTCTTTAGCCCGTTAACCCGATTTTGCTCCTCGACCCGTATGGCAAGGTCCATCGCATCCTCTAGGGTTAACGGTTTCAGCATCCGGATCCCCGCCCTAATCTTCTCCTTAAGCCCATTTACAAATTGTCCCTTCATTATGCTCTCAGGAACATCAATGGTGATGCCTTCTCTTTGAACATTTTCCGGTACCCCACCACCGTGGCGTGTGAGTTACCGCCAAATACTTCGTGGAAGGTTCTCGCATATACCGGCCTCAACTGAGTTAACACCTGCATCTTCATATCCTCCTAATGGACCACCGGTCGTCGGCGATGTTCCCATTGGTACCACCTTAACGCATCACCTTCCATGACTACAATTGCCGCTTGTAATTTTTCCGCCTCCGTGAGTCAGTAAAATTGAAAGTACTGCTCTCCTCGTAAAATCCAACCATCTAGGTCCGACTCGTCGAACATTGGCATGTCAAGTTTCCGGTACTTCTAGCTACCACAATTTTTCGGGCGGTCTTCGTAGTGGTTTCGAATTCCCCCTCCGGCTTCGGGGTCCCACTCCCAATTCGAATTCTAGGAATTCCGGCCACCCTGAAGCGTTATCCGCCTCATCCTCCACCGGTTTGCCCAAGTCCTTAATCGTGGCTAGAACACCCCGAATTTCATCATTGTTCTTCATCAACGCATTTTGTTGGTTCTGCTCATTGCGAAACCTGTTAACTTGTCCTTCATGCCTGACGTCGTCGATGGTGGCTCTGTTCTTGCGGGCTTCTTCCTCCTGGTTCTTCAATAAAATATGCTTAAGAGAATTTTCCCCCTCCCCGATTTTCTCAAAAATCTCCTCTACTCGTTTTTCAAGGCGGCTATTCGTTCAACGGTCGTCGTCGGGGCTGTCGGCGCCATCAGGATATTTTGTGGACTAACTTTTTTCTAAGTTAGGGACCAAGGAGGTTCCTGTGATGGGACCTAGGTCAAGCCTAGACCAGCCTAACACTAAAGCAACAAAGAATAAATGCACACAAGTGAGAGACAAGCACCAACAACGTAAACACTTTATTATTTTCGTGGCCTACAAATTACAAGGAGTTTCTCTCTCTAGAGTTCCCAAATTCGATGCCAAGCAAATGAATACCTTGACCTATTTATAGGCGCCAACTCCAGTTAGATACACTACACCCATGATCTAGTAACCGCCTACTACTTGGACGCTTACTTGGATAGTTGGATGTATCTGGACTTGTCCACGTACTTAAGGAAGTTATCCACGTTCATCATGCCCTTGTAACTGCTTGGTAACCGCCACACCCCACTATGCCATGTTCCTATATTTTAGGAGACATGCATCAGTTATGCCTATATGGCGCTCAACCGCCTCATCAGTGTAACTGTCCACTCCTTTAGTGTTCCTATTTTCTAGGGCGACTAAGTGAGTGGTGTAACTTCCACATGACGTGGCACTATCCTCTTAAAATAACTGCCCACGTTCATGATTACACCCCACTACTTTGGTGTTCTTATTTTATAGGAACCGTCCCCGTAGTGGCTTAACCGCGTTCGCGTCCGACCATAGTCACAAGCATAGTCAACATAACCGTTAGTCAACCCACTAACATCATGGTCCTTATATTTTAGGAACCATACTTAGCCATGTGCTAACTCTAGACGTCCCGACAATTTAGGAGAGTGGTGCAACGTGTAGGGGTGTTCAAAAATACCCGACCCGATTGTCCCGACCCAATTTCCCGATGACTCGGTGAATACCTGACGGGAAATTTTGGAGAAAAAACTTTTTTTACGGGTCAGGTATTTTAATTTACTATCGGGTACCCGTGAATACCGAATTGCCTACTATCCGGGTCGGGACATTGGGCGCATACTTTCATTCTCGGGTACCCGATAGTAAATTAAAATAAAAAAAAAAAAAATTCGCTACTAAGCCAGTAGCCCAGTAAGGTCAGCCCATACCACTATTGAGAGGAAATTAGGGTTCTCAATCTTCCTCTCTCTCTCCGCCGCTTAGTGTTCCTCTCTCTCTCCTCTCTTGCTGTTCCTCCCCCTCTCTCAGCTGTTCTCTCTCCTCCCCCCTCTCTTAGATCTATATATCTCTCTCAAACCTTCAGAAGTTCACAGTTTATACACACACCGCGCGAGAGAAAACCTTCATCAAGCAGCAAATCGAACCATGCCACACGAGATCTACGATCGACGGTCGATCCAACCACACGAGAGATCTCTCACCACAACCGTTGCAAGATTGAGTTCAGATTGTAATGTGCTAAGCTGCAACGTTGATTATACTTGAACCAAGTAACTTGATACTTATGGGTAGTCTGATTTCATAATCAAATTTGAAAGTTGAGTTGGTTTGTAATTGTTCATGGTGTTTTGTCTTTCTTTTTCCTTTTTATCTTTGATATTAGTTTACTGTAATTGTGGTTGCAACTTGCAATTGTTTTTCTTTGTTCAATTTCTTCTATTTGGTTGAACCATAATTAACTTTGATTTGTGTTTGAGAAATACATAGTACGAGTATGTTTTCTTTGGCTTTCAAATTCACCCAATTAATTTTTTGTAATTTATTTTGTCGGGTACCCATGACCCGACCCGGGAAATTCGGGTACTTGATAACCGGGTACCCGGATTTTACGGGACGGGTCATGGGCCGCGTTTTTAACTACCCGAAACTCCGGGTACCCGAAATCTCGGGTACCCGGATTTGAACACCCCTAGCAACGTGGGTGGATACCTTAACCGTCTATTAGCCCCACTACTCGGCCAATCCGGCAATCCCTAGATTCAAGGCGACCACATGTAACCACAATGACTAAGCATAACCGTCAAGGAGAACTTACTATAAATAAACCACTAAGTAAAGCTTTGGTTAGACCAATCATCAAGCTAAGACCTTTCCTGACCATCCAGCACATAGCCACACTAGCCCATGGTTCCCCCGAAGGATCCATGGTCATCGTCCGCACTTGTTCCTCCATGCTGGAGCTACTACAGTCTCCACTATAGTAGTGGACCATAGAGACACCTTCACAGGATCCCAAGAGCATTCCTTAGCCAAAGCACGCACCATTTAGCTAGCATGCCCATACTAAGTCCCAAGCCCTTGTTAGTCACCTCGCACCTACCGAGTCGATTTGTCCAATCAAGTGTCCACCTTAGCCATCCAAGTGTGCTATAGTCCCCATAGGTCATCTTATGTCCAAAACTATGCCCAAGGCCCCTAGCCCTAAGGCCACTCTTTGACCCTAATCCTTGAGTGAGCACTCGCCCCCTAAAGAGCTTTATTTTGATGTGGCCATGAAATACCCAACTGACAGTAACACAATAATGGGCTCTCATGCCTGATCCTTGAACCCAACCTTGGGCCTATGGCCATGTATGATCTATTAGGGTCCTAATAAGTCCCCTCAATAAGTATCAAAGGTTATTATGGAGTTTTGCTCATCCAAACACTCCGAGGATTTTTTAGTGCGCTCGCTCGCGTGCTAGCCATAGGCCCAAGGCCTAGCTGGCCAATGCTTTGCTAGCACCATGGTCTAAGCACTTGGGGATCATCCATGATAACCTCACAAGCCTTAGACATGGTAATGAGCAACTCTAGCCTCACTTGGCTCGTTCTTTCCGAATCGAGCATGCACTTGCTCACGTAGGCAAGCGGGATCCCGAAGGCCTTGCGTGCCTATGCGGGGTGGTCGACGGCCTTGTCTAGGTCGACCCAAAAGTGACCATGACAGTAGCTCTGATACCAACTGCAACGGACTAGCGTGTAGCAACAAGATGATATAGTCGAAAGGTTGAATGTTTGATTGATAGAAAGCTTAAAGCTTGCGAAAGGGGTTTAATGGCTTTAGGCCATTACTCTCCATGAGTTACTTACAATTTTTCTTGATACTTTACTCTTCTAGGCTACCACTATTTTTACTACTACTACATTGCGAATATTGGCAAACATAGCCTTAATTTCTACAAGTACTACTCTTGTCCTCTTCCTCTTTAACACAGTACAAACAAATAGCCAAAGGTGTTTGTCTGTTTTAACGGTCCTCTCTCTGACCTTGCATTGGCTACGGTTTGTTGTTGTTGGTCTGAACTTGCTATTACTTCTGTCGCCTGTGGTAAGTTGGTGTAACGGGTGGTGGTGGTGGGTTCATTGCAGTTGCGAATTGTAGTGACTAATGAGTTAGTGAGAGAAACCCAATCAGCTCGAATGCAGTGTCACTTGTATTGATCATTTATATATTGCAAAATATAATTAAATTTCTCTTCTTCCTTGATTTCTATGATTAATTCTTCTCTCTTATTCAATCATATAAACATTGAATTTTTAGCACAAAGCTCCCAACCTCTGCAAGAAATACACTCTATTGTATTTTCTAATCTACTTCTCCCTTCATCCTATAGTTTTTTTTAGATGATTGTCTCACAATAAAGTTGTCTACTTGTGCAAAGATTATGGAAAATGAGAAAGGAGGGAAGGTGCATAGGGCTTAACTTTCAAAAGGCCAAGATGAAAACTTGCTTTGGAATTAGGAAAAATTGTTAATTGTGGGACACTTCCCAAAATGAAGATGTTTACTGAGTGCCAGAGAGAGTATATATCTTTTATATAAGAATAGACAATGCATTTGCCAATGTTAGTGCTGTTGTAGTTTCCATAATTTTTATATGGCATATGCTAATGTATTCAAACCAAGTAACTTTGAATCCCAAAAATTGAGTAAATTTCTTGCAGATTTTTGCTGCTAATTTCCTCTGTACTGATGATATTTGCAGGATCTGTATTTATGGGCCAATGGACACCTGAAAGTGTCGGAGATTATGCTAGTGGAACAAATCATGTCCTTCCTACATATGGTTATGCAAGAATGTATGGTGGAGTGTCACTTGATTCTTTCCAGAAGTATATAACAGTTCAATCTCTGACTGAGGAAGGCCTAAGAAATCTAGGCCCATACGTGGCAGCCATGGCTGACGTTGAGGGACTGGAAGCTCACAAGCGAGCTGTAACCTTAAGGCTTCAGGATATTGTGGCAAGGCAAGGGTCAAACTTGAGATGATACAGACGAACTGTGACCTTAAGTATGTGATTTGTCTTTGCTGTTTTGAGATAAAGCTGGTGTAAGTGCCTCAGCCTCACATTGAGGATGTGTTGTGGAGTTGATTTTGTATTTTTGTTACTACTAGTACCCTGTACTCTAAAATAATGAAATTGTAACAGAGAACTGTTGCAATATTTTTGATCTTTCATCACTTTTCATCTTTCTAATTTGGATTTTTGGGTAAATCTCAGATGATTGCCAACTACATGAGATTTTAGCCGAGGTCTCAAAAACAAGTTTCCTGAACTTTTAATTCTTCTTGCATCATTTATCCATTAATCTCTGTAATTTTGTTTTAGATTAATGTAACATGTGAGCTTTCATGCTTATACATAATTCATATAGAATGAATAAGAATTCGTTTGATACCCTTAGCACAGTGTATATATCCTGTCAAAAAAGAAAAAGACAACAAAAAAAAAAAAGAAAAGAAAAGAAAGCAGTGTATATCTAAGTGCTACACTTTGCTGATATAACTCAACTGAACTTTATTATATCTTGCAGAACTTGGTGTTGGGCTGTAGGTTACAAAACTATGATTCTGGTGGCGCACATATAGACTCCATGGAGTAGATGGTTCATCTTTGGAGAGCATAGTACCAAAAATGACATGATAGTCGAAGGTACAGTGTTTGACATTTGATAACGCATGAGTGCTAAAATCGGTAGAGTGAAGCTTCTCTCTTCAAGCCTTCATGGGCAACGTATGTGCACATATAAATTATGGTTTCAACCCACCGTGTACTGATCATGACATGCTTCTCATGCTGAAGGTGAGGCCGCTTACTATTTTAATGTGAATGATGCAGTTAAGCATGAATAAGTTGTGTGGGTAATGGGCTGTCAATGCTTCTGTTATGCATAGCTTCGTCCCTCAAAATAACTGCAGTATTGACATCCCTGGCAATCCTACAGCTCTACCGAACCATGATGTCTCGATGAGGGTGATTATAATGGCTCAGTCTATCAGAGTTGCCTTTGGCTCACTTCAGTTGAGGTACAAGAGCTGTTACTTTAAATTTTTGTACTTATCCAATGAAGCAGCAATTTCCACATTATTTATTGACTTTTAAATAACCAAAAGACAAAAAAAGGAAGAATAAAATTTCTAAGGTTAACGAACAAGCTTATTCAACTCTTACTATGAATGCTTATTCTTGTAATTGCATGCTGTCGGAATTCAGATTATCAGGCAAGTGTACAGTCAATAGCTATAACTGTTAAAATTTGAAACAATACCCAATTCATAAGTTAAAAATACACTAGGAAAACTACAGATGAACATATAGCTAAGATGATCTCATTTCCGCAGAAATTTTTTGAACCACAAGGCAGAGCTTTTAGGATACCTCTTCAACCCGTTCTGAAAATCGACATAATTGATCCCGTATCTGATTGTATAACCAAAATTCCATTCAAAATTGTCCAGCAGTGACCAAGCAAAGTATCCCCTTACATCAACACCATTTCTGTCACAAACAACATCCATTAGGTAATAATTATTCCTTCTGTCTGAGATTTAGGGACAAATTTTACTAACATACTGTATCTGATCACCTAATTTAAAGGTACATTAAGAAGCCCAGCTATAAACCATGACTAGTTTAGGGAAGTTGAAAAATATATGTGACAATTAATTCCGGACATAATTACAACATAAAGCTAGATATTAGAAGAGCCTTACTGAATTGCTTCTCTTAAGTAATGCAAATGATGGTAGTGGTAGTCTATCCGTATCGTGTCAGCTAGGGCTTCTTTAAGTGATAATGAGGAATTATTCTGCTCACCAATTCCTGCAAAAGAATCAAATACACATGAAAGATGCATAATACGTCTCATCTTTACAGACAGTAGTAGTAGTAGTACCATTTTCGGTGATATATATCTCTTGTGAGTTGTACTTGTCTTTCATGTAAAGCAGAAGATCCCGTAGCCCTCTTGGATAACTGTAAAACCCGTTTGTAGCACCCTGAAACAGGACTAGTTAATGCAATAAGAGGAAAAATAGTATGCCTAGAAGTAATAGTTTGATAGTTCTAGTTCAATTCTTACCTTTGGACCAATGGGAACTCCATGACGTTCATCTGCAATAAAGTTTTTGATAAATCTCACGCGATGCATTATATGAAAGCAACTTTTGAGTGTAAACAAAAACGTATAGGTGGATCTAGAAGCATAACCATAGTAATAACTAAGTTGAAAAATACCTTATAACAATAACACCACAACATCAATGTTACTAACTTACCATAACTTTGAAAAATTGGGATGAATATAATCACGTTGCAAGTGCTGAGAATTGCTTACTTGAATAGGTACCAATGCAATCTGAAAGGTAGCTGAATCTCGTTATTGAGCCATTGAAAGACATTGGAGGAGCATTCGCTACATACGAAGCAGTGTAATAATTCAATCCTAGAAAATCAAAAGACCCTTTTATCATCTTTGACTGCTCTTTCGTGAACTTTGGCAATCGATCCTTGACTAAAGAACTCATGCTGTGTGGATAATTTCCTGTTGTAAGAGGTTCCATGAACCTAGTAACAGCAGAAGCGCAAGTATCAAGCAATAGTTATGATACTAATTGAGCTATTTGACATATTTTATGACTTGAGGAATGACCTTAGGAAGTTAGGAGGGTTCTACCATACCAGAATTTTTGCCAGGGCAGAAACAGAATAGAAGATTTTTGTAAACTGTCAAAGATATAACTTACCACCCAATTGTAAAGTCGAGTGCTCGTTGAGTAGCATCGCGGTCTTGTATAGAATTTGATAATGGTACATACCAATTTGTTGCCAAAACAATGCCAATCTTTCCCTTTTGAGATGCCTGCACTAATTTAGCAGCTTGTCAAATATCATGTCACATTTACAAGAATTACAAATTGCTAAATACAGTATGTTACTGCTGCATTTATGTACTCAATTTCTCAAATTTGTATGTTTCAAAGTAAGAAATCTAAGAAAAAGTTGATGACTAATTATCCTAGCTAGCAATTAAAGGTGGTGACTAACCTGATATTTTTGCTTGTACAGCTTGGCAGCAGCAGCATGAGCAAGAAGTAGGTTGTGAGCCACAACGTAAGGCTCAGTTCCGGAATCACCGGCAGAGCAATTGAGATTCTGCCATTTCGAACATCGACCTGGTGGTCCATATCCTACTGCATAGCCAGTTAAGTCATAATACAGTGGTTCATTCAGTGTAGTCCAATACTTAACTCTGTCGCCGAATTTTCTGTAGCATAGCTCTGCATAGTCTCTAAAATCATTTCTGTAAACAATAATATGATTATTTGTCACTTCCTAAACATCATTACATTCTAACTTAGTAGAATACCTCCTAAGGTTGTTATAAATGTCTATCAGACAGTTGATTAGGCTTATTGATTATTGACAATATATAAGAACATTTGCATCATGGTGGAATAATACAGAGTAATAAGTTAATATAGCTCAATGAATTTTCAATGCTTCCTAGTTTTCATTAAGTGTAGGTCATTAACATTATTCAAGAGAAGTGTTTGGCCAAAAATAGTCTTACAGTAGTTACAAGGATAAGGCTACTTACATCCAACTCCCGTAGTACCCCGAATGTGTGAGAGCCACACACATTTATAATTAAGTACTAGTACTTGATTTTCTTTTAATTAATTCTAGCTTGATATCACTAAATAAAAATCCAAAGAAAAATGGTGCTTACATTATATTTCTACTTAAGAATCCTCCATAATAATCTTCTAGAGCTTGAGGAAGATCACTGTGAAATAGGGTCACGAAGGGCTTTATACCTGCATTTAGATCCATCGTTGTCAAGTAGGCTATAAGTTGCTCTACACTACTACGCGTGATTTTGTCATAAGCTCCCAAACTAATGCCATCCTAGGAACCATACTAAAACTTATGGTGTGAAATCCGTACCATTTTTGAGTAACTCATTGATGAGATTGTTGTAGTATCTGATTCCTTTCTGATTGATTCCTCCACTTAGCTTTCCTTCTGGAAGAAAACAATGTTTTTGTGAGTTGTGAGTTGTGACTCATCTAGGAAATTAAAAGTTTGACCTTTTTTAAAACTAAAGCATCACATTATGATTGTCCATCCCCTAGGTGGGTTGTGGACTTGTGGGCCGAATTCTAGTCCACATGTCCAGCCTGGTCCTGAACCAGCAAAATTGCCTCGTGGGCCAATCATGATCCTCCGCCCATCAACCCGACCTATTGACTTAGATATGCCAATAAATGACACGTGTGATTCACACGCTAACCACATGCTGGTACATGTTATACACATATCAAATCAAAACAACCCTTAGTAACTATTACGGCAAAAACCCATTGATAATTTAGTTATAAGAATGTCATTGAAAAACAAATTAATTAAACATGTACTTGTACTAATTGAAAGATACCAAAGAAACTATGTTTGTTTTAGGGAATCAAAATGACAAAATGGCTCTTACTTGGCAGTAACCTGGACCACGAAATTGAAAATCTGAAAGCATCTAATCCCATTTCTTTTATGAGCTTCACATCTTCCTGCAATTCAATTCAAAATTACTAGATAATGAAGAATATCAATCAATAGTACCAAAATACTAATTAAGCTGGTTAATTTGATATATACTTCATGCTTCGTATGTGAAAACCTATGAGCATCTAATACCCCTCTCTAGACTATTCTGGAATTACAAATAAACAAACTTACTTTGTATCGATGGTAAGAATCTGTAGCAACATCGCCATTGCTACCATCCACGATTTTACCTATAAGCCAACATTATAACAAACAAGGCAACACAAGTCATTAGTCATTACTATTCGAGGATTAATGACTACATTAATTTTCCAGACATCCTAAAATAGTACTCTAACTATTATTTTCAAACATAGCGTAAACATAAGGAGGGAGAGAAAGAGAAACAGGGAGCAACCTGGATATTTATGAACATAGGTATCCCATATGCTAGGACCTTTACCATCCTCCTTCGCTGCACCTTCATACTGAAATGCAACAACCATATCAATCTAATCCAACTCGAGACACGAAAACAAGATGGAAACACAGCAAGCTAAAAATTAATCATTCATCGATTTCCTTATTACCTGGTAAGCTGAAGAAGCAACGCCGAAAATGAATTTTTGAGGAAAGGAAGTACGGTTGAGCAAACTAGTATGGTAGTTTTTCAAAGCAATAGATTGTCTAATGTTAAACACAAAATTTAACCCCAAGATTATCATAAGAGTAAAAATCCATCTTCTATTACCCATTGAAATTTCTCACTTCTTTTTTTTTTTTGTTTCTTCAATGCTGAGTGAATAACAAAGACTTTATCATTCACTAGCCCTGCTCTAATAATGTTGCAATCTTCTAGTTAGAGTACTCTATTATATGGGCACTCTTGGACTGTGTTACTTGTACTCGGATACCCATGTCTGACACGTGTGTCCAAGTATATAACTCGGCTATTTTAACCCAAAATGAAATACCGAAGTTTTTAGGATTCGACATACAGTATATAGATACTTGAGGTGACATGGAGGGTCCGGATGGATAGCATAAATCCCAACGTAGCTTGTACTGCACTTAGTTATTGACACGCACAAATTTCACTGAATATTTTCTGTTAGTACGTGACTCACATACCAAAGTTATATTTTGGCATATATATTGCTGGTATACCAAGTTCATCATATCACAAACATCGAGAATATCAAAATATTACAATCTGCAAATTTTATGATTCGTTTGATTATAACAAAACTTTGTCATACTGTATACGTTCTAATTAAAACTACTGACAAAAACATGGATTTTAGTGAAACCTCTGTATTTCATTTGTGTAGCTGATCCAAGCATTATTAAAAAAAAACATGCCTAGAGCTATAGAATTCAAATGAACATGAATGATCCTTGTATAAATCTGTCAACTGGAGTCCCTTAATAAGACTAGTACAATAATCTCCTGTCTAAAATTTCTTGTTGTACGTTTTGACTTTTTGTGAGACAATCACGACTAAATGTTCATTATATAAAGAATATTTAGTGACGAAGATAGTGTATGTCAAAAATCCATGTAAAACAGGTAATTTTCATTTCACTAGAGAATATAGATGATTAAGGACGTGTTTTTTGAATTCAAACATAACTATAGCTAGCATTATAGATAGCAGCACAGTAAGGGCACTAACATCCAACTATAAAAGTAGTTCCATAATCTATTGGGTGGGTTAGGAAGAATTTACTTCCTAGGCATTATGATTTGATCAAAGAAAAATGGCTAAATCATTAAGTTGTTCTTAGAAAGCCGAAAGAATAAGAGGATTCACTTGATTGCAAACAGAAAAATGTGTAATTAAGATGGTCATGGTAGTACTGTAACTCATTTTATCAGTTGAAGGTTCAAGGGCAAATAATATTGATGGAACTATAATTTTCAAAACATGCCAAAGGCTATATTTTCAAATATAACACTTGCAAACCAACATCAAATGATTGATATGCCAACCGTCAATTTAATGACATCTTAAGCATTTTTTTAATTTCTCTGGTCAAAGCAAAATTTTACAATCAACTTTAAGGTGTGCAATACGAGGCATGCCTTAAAGGGATCAAAGCAAAAAGGTTGTCTTTTCCATCAATCATTTGAAAGCACAACATATATCTTCAGTATTTTTATATGGAGTATATACAATATTGCATTTGATGAAATTTAAATTACTGTATTTTAATTTAATTTTTTTTTTTTGTGTTTAGAGAGCCACAAGGGGCAGGGATGAGAATCGATCCCAAAACATCCTCAAATCGGGAAAAAAGATCTAACCACTTTAGCTGTCACTCATTCTCTAGTGTATTTTAATTTTATTATACCAATTTTGTTTTAATAATGTAGATTCACGTTGTTTATATTAGTACTTCATCTACTTTTTTTTTAAGAAGCGCATCAATTTGATTGACTGCCAATCCAAGAGGCGTATACGAAAATGGTTAAATTGGATGCTTAAAGCAAGTTGGATGGTTCTACCCACCCAAATGAACTCCCGGAAGATATTAGGGTCCATGGTAATCATCTCTGCAATTTTATTTTTGGCCTAAAAAAAGTCAAAATTTGTCAAAAATTAAGGCTATTATCCACGTTTTTTGAGGAATTTTGGAGGTTTCGAGACCCTGTATCGGAAAGTTTTCAGATGGTAGGGGATAAATCTCGGGGTCATATAATGACATTTGGAACCATATATGACCATTATATGTAGTCATAAATGTCCGTGGTGTAGCTTGATTTAATGAAATCAGTGTTAGTTGTAATCGGATAAATAAACTGTTTAAAGGCATATTGGATGGTTTTACCCACCCAAATGGGCTCCCAGAATTTATTAGGGACCATGGTAAACATCTCGGTAATTTTCATTTCCGGGCAAAAAGAGGTCAAAAAATCCCAAAATTAAAGGATATTATTATCCACGATTTTTGAGCAATTTTGAGGTTACGGGGCCGGTGGCGAAAAGTGTTGAGATCCTAAAGGATACATCTCAGGGTCATATAATGTCGTTTGGAACCATATATGACCATTATATGTTGTCATAAATGTCCGTGGTAGGCTTGAGTTCACGAAATCGATGCAAGGTGCGAACGGGTAAATGGATCGTTTAAAGGAAAATTAGATGGTTCCACCACCCAAGTTAACTCCCGAAGGATATTAGGGTCGTGGGTAATCAACTCGGCAATTTTTATTTCCGGCCTTAAAAAAGTCAAAATTTGTCAAAACTTAAGGCTATTATCCACGTTTTTTGAGAATTTAGGAGGTTTCAGGGACCGGTATTGAAAAGTCTTCATATGCTAAGGGATACATCTCAGGGTCATATAATGACGTTTGGAACCATAAAGGACCATTATATGTTGTCATAAATGTCCGTGGTAGGCCTGATTTTATGAAATCAATGCAAGTTGTGAACGGGTAAATTGATCGTTTAAAGAAATATTGGATGGTTTTACCCACCCAAATGGGCTCCTATTGGGTATTAGGGATCATGGTAAACATATCGGTAATTTTTAATTAAGGGCGAAAAAAAGGTCAAAAATCCCAAAATTAAAGGGCTATTAACCACGTTTTTTGAGGAATTTTGAGGTTACAGGGCCCGGTGACGAAAAGTGTTGAAAACCTAGATGATACATCAAAGGGTCATATAATGTCGTTTGGAACCATATATTACCATTATATGTTGTCAGAAATGTCCGTGGTAGGCTAGAGTTCACGAAATCGGTGCAGGGTGCGAACGGGTAAATTGACCGTTTAAAGGCATATTAGAAGGTGTTACCCACCAAAATGGGCTCCCGGAGGCTATTAGGGACCATGGTAAACATCTCGGTAATTTTCATTTCCGAGCAAAAAAATGTCAAAAAATCCCAAAATTATAGACTATTATTCACGCGTTTTAAGGAATTTTGAGGTTACGGGGCCTGGTGGCGAAAAGTGTTGAGATCCTAGAGGATACATCTCAGGGTCATATAATGCCGTTTGGAACCATATATGACCATTATATGTTTTCAGAAATGTCTGTGGTAGGCTTTAGTTCACGAAATCAGTGCGAAGGTGCGAATGTGTAAATTGTTTGTCATAAACTATGAGCTAGAAGGGTAAATTGACCGTTTAAAGGCATATTGAATAGTTTTACCCACCCAAATGGACACCCGGAGGGTATTAGGGATAATGGCAAACATCTCGATAATTTTTATTTTCGGGCGAAAAAAGGTCAAAAAATCCCAAAATTAAAGACTATTATTCACGTTATTTGAGGAATTTTGAGGTTACATAACCTGGTGGCGAAAAGTGTTAAGATCCTAGAGGATATATCTCAGGGTCATATAATGTCGTTTAGAACCATATATGACCATTATATGTTGTCATAAATGTCCGTGGTAGGATTGAGTTCACGAAATCGGTGCGAAGGTGCGAATGTGTAAATTGTTCGTTTAAAGGCATATTAGATGGTTTTACCCACCCAAATAGGCTCCCGGAGGGTATTAGGGACCATGGTAAACATCCCGGTAATTTTTATTTCCGGGCGAAATAAGGTTAAAAAAATACCAAAATTAAAAGACTAATAGCTTTTTGAGGAATTTTTAAGTCACGCGGGCCGGTGGTGAAGAGTGTTGAGATCCTAGAGGATACATTTTAGGTCATATAATGTCGTTTGGAACCATATATGACCATTATATGTTGTCATAAATGTCTATGGTAGGATTGAGTTCACGAATCAGTGCAAGATGAGAACGGGTAAATTGACCGTTTAAAGGCATATTGGATGGTTTTACCCTCCCAAACAAGCTCCCAGAGGGTATTAGGGATCATGGTAAACATCTTGATAATTTTTATTTCCGAGCGAAAAAAGGTTAAATAATCCCAAAATTAAAGACTAATATTCACGCTTTTTGAGAAATTTTGAGGTTACGAGGCCCGGTTGCGAAAAGTGTTGAGATCATATGGGATACATCTCAAAGTAATATAATGCCGTTTGGAACCATATATGAACATTATATGTGGTCATGAATGTCCGTGGTAGGTACAAGGTGCGAACAGTTAAATTGACCGTTTAAAGGCACATTGGATGGTTTTACCCACCCAATTGGCCTCCCGAATAGCAATAGGGACCATGGTAAATATCTCGGTAATTTTTATTTCTAGGCGAAAAAAGGCCAAAAAATCCCAAAATTAAAGACTATTATTCAAGCTTTTTGAGGTATTTTAAGGTTACGGGGCCCGGTGGCGAAAAGTGTTGGAATCCTAGAGGATACATCACTAGTTCATATAAGGTCGTTTGGAACCATATATTACCATTATATGTTGTCATAAATTTCTGTGATAGGCTTGAGTTCTCGAAATCGGTGCAAGGTGCAAACAAGTAATTTGATCATTTAAAGGCACATTGGATGGTTTTACCCACCTAAATGGGTTCCCGGAGGGTATTAGGGACCATGGTAAACATCCCTATAATTTTTATTTCCAGACGAAAAAAGGTAAAAAAAATCCCAAAATTAAAGACTATTATTCACGTTTTTTGAGGAATTTTAAGTTACGACGCCCGGTGGCGAAAAGTGTTGAGGATACATCTTAGAGTCATACAATGCCGTTTGGAACCATATATGACCATTATTTGTTGTCATAAATGTCCGTGGTTGGCTTGAATTCATTAAATCGGTACAAAATGCAAACAGGAAAATTGACCGTATAAAGGCATATTGGATGGTTTTACCCACCCAATTGGGCTCCCGGAGGGTATTAGGGACCATGGTAAAAATCTCAGTAATTTTTATTTGCGAGCGAAAAAAGGTCAAAAAATCCCAAAATTAAAGACTATTATTCACACTTTTTGAGAAATTTTGAGGTTACGGGTCCCGGTGGCGAAAAGTGTTGAGATCCTAGAGGATACATCTCACGGTTATATAATTCCGTTTGGAACCATATATGACCAATAAATGTTGTCATAAATG